CTCGCCTTGGTCTCATCAATACACTAGATGAAATCTTAAACCGGGTCTTGCGTTTAAGCGACGTGGTTGCAACACTGTCGCAGCACGTGTCACTTAATCACGGGTCAGATGTGACTTTCAAGCCACAGAAAAATCTGGATGGGGAAACCGATGTTCATCCTGGATTACAAAACCCTTAGAGAAACAAATCCATCATGGGATTCTTACTCATTTCAATGAAGGGAACTAGCATACCAAACCTTCGTTCTCCAAAATTGACCGAAAGCTATTCTAGTTTCAGAGTGTATTTATGGCTAGTTTGTTGTAAGATCAGTTATGGTTCAATGTTTTCAAGACGCTACTTTTTGAAAAAGCATATCTAATTAATGACTAAAGGGCTCTGTTTGAGCATCGATTACGGATGTTAACAGGTCGTAATGTATTGAGACTCAATTTAAATTTATTTCGGGAATCAGAAATTGAGGGGTTCGAAGACCTCTTTAGCAATGGCTTTTTAATATTTTCTTTAGTAATCGTCTCATTCTTACAGTGGAGTTTCGATCATTTTAGTTAATGCTATCTCCACTTATCTATATATAAGTTTACTGATATAAATCTTATTTTTCTTAGGTTCAATAAATTGCGCATTTTTTCTTTTGATTTAATCACGATCCCAGAACTAAGTTCTGTGCCATTTTTTGCATGACTATTGATTTTGGTAATAAGAGCAAAGTAATCAAATCTATATTTAACCACACATTATACTTAATGCTTTGTCATATCCCTTTTTCTCTTACTCTGGCCATTAACGCCTAATTATTCAGGCAGAAATTATTGCGAAGAAAAGTTGGGTTTTGAGGAATTTTTTTTGTTTTATTATTCTTGAGCTTATTTCCATTTCGAGTGAAAGTGTTTAATTAAGAGATTCGAAGATCTATTCCACCAGTAGACGACGGCAGATTCCTCTTGATCAGCTGTCGATTGGCTTTACTGGAACATTCATGCGGACGTTGTTTCCGAGGTAATCTCCTTCGATTCCGATTTGTCATATGACGAACATCATCAGAGCAGGATATCATCGTCACAACCAAATTCAATCTATCGAGTTTTTTGACTCGAATGTCTTCATCGAACACTTTCACTCGAAATGTAAGTAAGCACAACAAAAAATATTGCTTTGCAAAAAGACATTTCATCCGTTCCTTCTCTTTCCAAGTCTTCGCAGATAGCATATATTTGCTCAAATATTTGGAGGCAAGAGTTATATTCTAGTATGCTGAATATTACAGTTTATAATATAATTTTTAAGTTGATATTAATTTGTGTTCAGAATCGACCTTACTCTTCGAAACAATTATTTATATTTTATGCGGCATGTGATAATAACGACTACTTATTTTTGGAATGGATTATTTCTTTATTTTACTAAAATACATGGGATTCACCTTTATGATTTATACTTTATTTTAATATTTGTCATCTATCATCCATATTTTTCATAAACAGCTGCCTTAGTCGTGTGGCAACTGAATTCCGCTTTGAAGGATGGTGGTCGATTCTCACTTCCCTATTACGAGGTCTTCTGAGGTGAGTCCTATTACTTTAGCTTAAATACAAATCTGACACTATTAATAGCTGATTTTGACGTTTATATCTCGTTGAATATCAACATTGTATGTTTTAGCATGTCTAAAATAAGTGATTCCTATTATAGCATTTTTTTAATTCTGCAATTTTCGGATCATATTTTTCCAGTGTATTTCACTCGTAGGCATTCAAAAAGTTAGTTAAATATAAGTGCTGTATTCACCCTATTTAGTCTAGGCTGATCAAGGATGGGTACTTCTCTAAATGTCTATCTGCCTCGTAACATTATTTTAAATACATTATATAACCCCGTTTATAAATTGAAAGTTTCATCAATTATTTTTTGAATAAGCTTTCAGTTTTATTGCGATCTGCATTTCCTTTACCTAAACTGTCTTGACTAGGGCTGTCTAGAAGGAATTTTTTTATGCATTCATAATATTAGATCCATAAATATGAGTGATGGGCGCTACTATTTCACTTTAATGGATTATAGCAGCGGAGCTTTACCTGTATGCGTTTTAGTACACTATCTGCTAAAGGATCTTTCCGTTTGGAGATCAAATGATTCGTTTTTTCGTATTTCATGCTTTCTCTCAATTATTCAAAATCTGATCGAGTATCAAAGGTCTAGGAAATACCAGTATACTTTGAGTCTTTAGTTTTAAAGATTTGTAGGTTATGCATCAGAGGGTTTGATGAGCTTAAGTTATAATGGCATGGCTTAGCTCTTTATTCGAAAGGGAGGTTTTTTGCTGACTTTTTGCATGCTATACATTTTTATTTAAGCCTACAATTAAAGCTCCCGATTCAAATCGATTCTAAGATCATGTCGTCATATGGTCTTATTTTGTCATTAAATTTTACCGCACTATGTGCCCCCAAGCAGTATTCTTATCGAGGGCAAACCCTTCTTCGACATTGTTCGGGTTTCAATGATACACCCAACGCAATTTGGAATGCTATAATATAGGCTTAGCTAAAGGGGCCTCTAATGGGTTTGGCCTGGTTAAAAATACTCCTATGAAACAGGGTTTCGTAACGACTTCTCTTCGCTTCATAATAGGCAGCTCCTACAATTCCATACTACTAGTTGTGCATCGTATAAATAGATTGATTCCTACTGGTTGCTACCGCATTGGTACGACCAAAGTCAATTCACATTCCTTCTGACCCTTTAACATACAATTCAACCTCGTTTAGTACTGGATCTCCTGAAAGAGCTTCGGGGCCATACTCAAGTAAACAACACAGCTAAATAATTAATTAAATAAGATTGATACGTATTTCCTTTTCCGTAAACTTAATCTCTTTGAATTAGTCTAATAATTTGGCAATTACAACTTATTTGAAAAAACCTTTTCTTTGCGATTTTTTAGATGTTCTTATTACACCGGCAACATTCTGGTCTACATCTCTGCAAGTCTTGAATTAATAGGCAAAGGTACCATTTTATTGCAACCAATATTTACCTGCTTCTTTGTTTATATAATAATTTTTTAATGGTTTAGTTTATTCCGTTAGACTTAAGCCTGTCTTTTGTTGGCAGGTCAGGAAGTATAAATACTCTTTTATTAGCTGCCGGCCATAGGACTTTTTGAAAGCACTACAGAAAAATATTTATCCCCCTAATTAGACAGATAGAATTCCTCCAAACTAACCGCCTGACAGTCCCTCAGTCCTGTGCGCCTCTTGTTCGGCAAATTTCGAATGTGATTCTTGCTGCAAAGGTCGATACCTCATTGCGGTCCAAATTTGGTGCTCCACAGTTCGGGTCTCTGTAACGTATGCGTGGGACCGCCAGGCTTTTCTCGCCTCCAACTTATTTGGCTGGATGCCGTGCATGTACTTCTGCATTGCTCTGTCCTAAGTTCATCTACAATAGTCCAAAACGCTTTTCACGATCGTCTCCCATGTTTGTAACACCCACCTTAAATTATGCCTCCACCAGCGGCCTCCTCTGTCCATCATCTGGACAAACGGATTCGCACTCATTTGGACCCGGTTACATGCACATCAATTCCACCACCGGACCACCTGTCATCAAGTCCCATGTGTTACAAACTCAGGGGATTTCGACCACCAACTTGCAGAGACCAGCATATCCCTCTTATTATGCGCCATTTTTCGCCCAATCGGGCTATTCCTATCCTCTGGAGGCTCCTCCAGGCCAATCTGAGCATTATTTCCTGCCTTCCATCCTCTCGACACTGTCACCAACGGCTTGGTGCTCAGAAGCCGGTCAACCTCTTTGTTTCCGGCAGCCGAACTCTCTGCCCATCGTCTATGGCTTCGCCGGCCCACAGACAGTCTACTCGGGCCAGGCCAACCTACCTTATCCATGCTGTCCTGTTGGTGATAGACGAAGATTCTCAGACTTTCACATGCGAAGTCTGATCTCAAAGCCAAGGCCTCTTAAGCGCCTTAAACGTTTTTTTGTCTCATGTTTCTCTTGTCTGAACTGTCCACCTTTATGCATACGGATTAATCATACCTCTGCTCCTGAACCACTTGATGGACAATCGAAGTTACGGTCTGACTTGAGAATTATCGCCTGTCCGAACTCCAGAATGCTCCCGCCCATCCCATTTCCCCTCAATCCCGTTCACTTCTCCAGTCGCCATGTTGCTGCTCCCAGCCGAGCGGCTGGACAAAAATACGCCTTTGTGGGCAGCCGGCTAGACCTCTCGCGCTTGACCGGGGACTTAACTCCACCCCTCGGCATTTACTCAAACCAATCTTTAGAGAGCCTGGAATTCCACCTTTTGGAGAAACGTTGCATGTCAAATAATGAAGTTTATCGAATTGGCAACGACCAATTAATGCCATATGAAATCACCTCAGGGGGCGATTTGAAAGGATGAAGTTTACAGCCGGTTTGGGAAATGCCATGTGTTCATAAATGAGGAATTATCGCGTTATCTAGTGGACACGCTTGAACACATTTACTTTGTTATCAGCCCATGAAGGTTTTGGCACTAAATTTACCACATGAACTCGATATGTTATACTATAAACCAAATAATGGTCATCCATCTATTAATTGCCTTCATTTTCTTTTTGTTGGATATGCTCACCTGTGTACCTTCAGGATTCGCTTGCATTGGTACACCGTTGGTACCTTCCCTGGACCTTATTTTTCTTTTGTCTCTTCCCATTCTTTTGTCGCTTATCTTTGTCTCCCCTCCTCAGCTCCTCTTTGCACTATTTCCTGGCTTTTTTCTTTATTGTCCTCACGCTTTTTCTCACTTTTCCAGATAGCACGGCATCTGCTGAGGAGAAACTCACTATACAAGCCAACCTCAACCGACTTTTACAGGTAAAAGGATCATCGCTTTAACTCGCTTTTAATCTTCTTTCTTTTCTATTACCGTAACACCAGTAGTCTTCTTATTTATGTAAATATTTATTTATCTATCTATCTATCAGTTATCATCTTTAATGTCTTATACTTCCACATGTCTGTATCCACTTCAATGCATAAATTGTCTTTAACTCATGCTAACACCATAGTGACATCTTGCCACCCGTAAAAGTGCAGTTTAAAAAAATAAATCACCTGGAATGCTTGCGGTCCAGGAGGCTGAGCTGTAGATATTACCGTTGTTGCGACTTGAAGAGTTATCTTGCCCATCTGGCCGCAACTTCCAGCCTTCAGGATTACATCTGAGTCATATCTGCAGGATTTTCTTTCCTGATAAAAGATAATGGACGCAAAGTGCATATATCCTTTAAAAATTTTTCCTGAACTGAAGCTCCTAAACAATTGTTGGATTGCTTATATTAATAAATATCACGATTGTTTCAATTAGATTATGTTTGTCTAATAGAAGAGTCCCACGTGAATTTGGGCAATACTTTACTCCACTACTCAGGCTTTTTGTGGATTCATCTTTTTATTGGGATTGTTCTTATCTGTTTACCTAACCCCTGCTTATTCGTTCATAGCTAGCATGCTGAATTTATAGCTCAACCACCATATAAAACCATATTAGATTTATAGGTGAGTGTCAACAAGCATTAAAGCAAGTAGTACTCAGTCGTTCCTTCCATAGCCACCTGTCATTATACCTCCTTAGGGTCTTGCTCCTCAGTATATTAATTAAAAACTAAAATGTAGGAAAGCTTATCTAGAAGAAACGAATATTTTTAGATCCTATCTGCTTTATTAAGATTCGTTGCATTGGAAAAAAACTATGAGCGAGAACTTTCATGGTATTCACCTTAACTCACTTAATTCCCCCTTCTAACTCTAGGATATTCTTGCTTAATTCATCTTGAACAGTTGGCCTTTTATTCCAGAGGGTAAATATATTTTGGGAGAACTTTAAAATAATAATTTATACGGTAACAACGGATGTCTCTTGCCACCCTTCCTATTGCTTCTTGTGGGTTCGGAAATTTTGGTTTATTTCTCGCTTATAAATTCTATGATCATCATGAGCGTAAACATTGAGCCATTTTATGGGAGCATGCAGGTTGCAGATCAAGTTAGCTTTCATAATCTCAACCACCTAGAAGAGATTCTGAGTCTTTTTATTTGATTTTATTGGGTGTAGGAATTTGTTTTTAGCTTCTGGGACCGTGCATATCAAGAAATGGGTAAAATTAAACTGTATTCCTTAATTTTTATAATTGCTTTTTAAAAGGTTAGTACAATTAGCTTTCATCGCTCCGATGCTTATTCATCTTTGCTCCATTTTTGGTAGTGTTATTGTTTTTTTAAAAGTTTCCTATATTCAACTTTGATGTATTATTCTGACCTTATTATTATTCGTTTATGCCAGTGATTCCTAAACTGCGCCGCGGCGCCCTGGGGAGCCGCGACCTCTTGGCGCCGCTAAATATTGTGAAAGCTTCAATTTGAGAAAATTTGTAGTGATTTGTAAGCTCATCCATCAAATTAATTATTAAATATTAATTTAATGTTAATAAAGTAAAAAAATAATGAAGATACTCGAGTTTTATTTCTTTCTTTCTCTTACTTACGAATAGTCATAGGCGCCATGGAAAAATTTAAATTGAAAAAGGGCGCCGCGACTAGGAAAAGTTTGGGAACCACTGGTTTATGTCATATTATCTCTTTGAATCGAAATTAAGAAAAATGTTAATTTTATCACAGCCTTTCTTTATAAAACTTTTTATCCAATTTGTTCCCACTCGGAAAGTTTCCCTTTAGCTCACTTGGTTACATTCAAGAATTTATATATCAGGTTTCTCTGGAAAATATTTTGCCATATATATCTGTATTTCTCGTCATTGTACCCACCAATAGTTTAACTTGCCCACCTATCCTGCTGTATCCTTTCGTGTCTAAATATTTTCCGTACTTTTGCTAATTACGTTCAGAGATTTTGCTCCTTTTTATTACGACCTGAGGCGTGATTATCAGCGCATCCGATTTCGCTTAGTTTCAACGCCATCTTCATATCAATTTTCCTAGTTGGACGAATTTCGTCAATGAGTAATTTACATTTTGGATATCAAACTATCACTCTGATTTTATTTATTGTTATGTCTTTATTTTATATCCTTTTTTATACCACTAACTTTTTCATCCAATTCCTATAAGTTTTCTTATTTATTAATGAATAGCTTAAATTTGTGGCAACCAATTATCTTTTTAACGGCATTTTGTGAATATTCTTAAAGTGGTATGTTTATCTTGCTACCTCAATAATAATAGAAGGATACAATCTGAACAATATGGATAATCCTTGGCCATCGTGCTCTTCCCTTTTTATAATTCCGAATTTATTAATCGTGTTTTTTGAACCCCCCGGTAGCTTGAGATGCCTTTTGCACACCCTACCGATTTTCCTCTCTCCGTGGATGAGCAAGCTTGGGCATCACCTACAGCGCTGGCCAATCTGCATCGAGCCCAGGTCCGCTGGCAAAAGAGTCTTGCAAGACTGCATGGCCAATTTAATACTGCTTCTGTTTGCGCATCACTTGTCTGCTCCTCATATTCGGATACTCCTTACACGGTTTCACGCGTCTCTAATATTTCCGTACCGGAAATGCCAGTGGCTGAAGATATATCCATTCCTCCCCAAGTGGAGTCAAGTCCTGTTGAATGGATTATCGACGTATCTCAATTACACATTTGTGGTAAGTCAATCTTCAATATCTCTTATATTCTATCCTACTATTTCTATTTGATCGTCCTCTTGTATGTGCATAAAGGCATTCCGTTTAAATTTAAAGGCCTCAATTTCGGAACCTCTGATTTCAGAAGCTTTTCGATATCAAATAAAAGAAAACCAGTCCTATTTTTCGGCATTTCTTTGAAATTATCTTAACTTTTGGGTACCATACTGAATTATTTATCAATATAAACTTCTGCTTTAATAGATCCTTTTACACAAAAAATCCCTTTATAGTTCATTCAAAAAGGAAGTAATCCTACTTGCACAATGTAACAATCAATCATTATTTTTTGTTAATGACTTCCTATTGCTTCATTTTTTCGCTGGATATCTCCGCCTCCAGGCAGTTCTACCTACTTCTCAACTGGTTTACGTCAAATGACAATACAATTAATTGAAACTGTAACAACTTCAAGGGACTACGATATAGATGAAGGTTCAGCTAAACATTTCGTGAATATTGTCCCAATGTCTAATAAAACTCTTTAGAGAATTACGGAACCCTATGGAAATTTCCTCCAATATAGAGCAGAATCTTTCACTGAAAGATAAGCAAATCGCACCATTAACTGTGGCGTATATACATGATTGAAAAATTAAGGGTATTTGTGAGTCTCCTGATGCGAAGAAATAGAATTCACTTTGAGACCCTTGTCTCTCAATCTCAATTTTGATTCCTAGAAAGAAGCCAAATAAACAAATTCATTTATTGAAAGTATGAAGACCAAGATGGTGTGGTCTTTTTTATGGTCGCAGTCTCCTTCCATTGTATAGAAGTTGTTTGAACCTTGTTTTCGCAACTTGGTCATGTTGGTAGGTAGCTAATTACTTGGAAAGTCAGTTGAAATAGGGCATTTATTGCTGGAAGTCTTTTTCGACCTCTAAAGTATCTTTTACTACGTAGGCTATTAAGCACCTTTGACTTTTTTCTAATACTAAGAGTAACTGGGTTTCGATTACCCTTCGGAGACAACATTGTTGGAGAGACTTTAATTTCGTATAAAAGTGAATGAAGAAAATATTCTTAAGTGAATCCAGCCAGAATACTATCGCTGATTCTCGTTGTACTGCAGCCGTTTGGCTTTAATAGGACGTTCATGTTAACGCAGGGCACCAGACATCCTCCCTCGTTTTACCCGAGCCATTCTATATTTATCTATGCCTATACAGTTTTGCTTTTTAGTTATTATTAACTATAAAGGGTAAAATGTATTTGGATAGCCTTCTTGACCTGGTATTTATGTAAGTCTTTCACAAGAATGGTTTACAACTCTGATAATACCCATCATCCCGTTTTCACCTAAAACTAGGGAGGATGTCTTATAGACTCCGTCAATCTGGACGTCGTATTAAAGCCAAAGGCCGCAGTGCAACCGGAATGAACCGTGGTTTTCTGTTGAGATCAGCTTAATGATCTCCTCATCATACAATTTCGTACGAAATTAAAGTCTCCCCAAAGATCGTTTTAATAATTTGGACTATTTGAACGTATCTGCATGCCCATAAATATATTTTAACTAAACAATTTTGTCTCCATTTATCTAGAGTTTTCCTTTAATTTAATTCACTATGGCTTAACTGTCTACCTGCTCAAAAACTCTGAACCTTGCACGTGTCTGTAACACATAGCACGTCTTCCAGGCTCTTGCTATCAAGTACAGACGGGGAGAAATCGTTGCATACTTTTCAAGACAGCAGAAATGAACTAGTATGCTATTTATTTGAATTCAATGGAAGAATGAGGCCTACTTATATCATTATGGGGAAATTCAACTTCCAGTCCTTCACCTTAAACGAAATGGGATGATACAGCTAAAATGTATGGGCTTTAATTGTGTTCACTTCCTCGTGTCTGTGTGTATGTGTGTTTTCAGTGATTTTTATATCACAAGGTCTGATGAGGGAAGAAGGCGGAGGTGGCTTGGTCACTTGAATATAATTTTTTGTCCACTCTTCCTTAAATAAGTGCATTTGATTAGCTGGCGAAGGCATAAATTAATTATTTACGGAAGATAGGCTCTCGGCTCTGATATAGTCTACGGAGGCATAGCACGTATCAGATTGCAAGTCTTCTTCAGAAGAGGTTAATCTGGTGCACATTGGTAACTAGTTCGGCTGAGGCCAAACTTTAGAAGCATTCCTGGAAATATTTTGTCATATACTCGCTTTCAAAGAATCCCTTTATGATTTATTGTTACTCGACTTTTCATTTAGAAGAAAAAGTTGATTGAAAGGAATTGGTGCATTCGTCTTATCGGAAACTGATATAGAATTGATTGCTATGGAGTTAAGACCGTTAGATCGTGCAAACAAGTCCTCGGCTCATCGTCTTGTCACCATGGGGAACCTATACTAAGTCTTTATCTGTCATCGCCAGAAAGTGAAACCATACTTTTGTAAGAAGTGCATCAATATACTAAACCAAGATAAGATGTGGCCGGCTACGATTCTTATATCTTAGTTTACGACCTTATTGAAGCATCCCATGAACTGTATTGAGAGTAAGTAGATTTCTGAGACGATCAGTAAATCTTGAATAAGAGTTATAGTCATCTGCGGTCACATAGGGAAGTAAAGCACCGAAAGTAATAATAAATATATGCTTGCTTCATCTACACTCCCACAACAAAAATGTGATATGCGAAAGGCATGTCCTTCCCTCAAATTGATGTCTGCACTGTGACTCAGGTGGATTCTTGTCAGTGTGGTGTGCTGGTTTGATTGACGCTAGGTGTACTGATAAAAACGAGACGAAGATAAAACTGCAGTTCAGATCAGCCTAGATGAAAATATTCTTTGAGCCGCAAAGTTATGTGAATTTTAATGGGAAAATAGGGTATACTCTTATCATTGTTGGAAAATTCAGCTACTGGTCCTTCATCACTTTAAATGAATTAAGGTGAATACAGTTCTTATAATCCTTTTCTATTCTCATTGTGCACTTATATTACCATCCAGCCGCTTGATAAGAACAAGAAAAGATATATTTTATAGTGTGTGTATGCAGTAGAGGTGTGAGCCCTAATTAGGCTTGAGGCTATTCGAGCCTTTTACTTAATAAAGTATGCATAATAAGATTATCTGTAGCACGTTTTTTTAGCTACGGGGACCTAAAATTCGAGCTTAAGATTAAGTTAGATTATGCCAGCTATTCTTTTAGTTTAATTTAATGATTCACATTTTCGTAAAGTATATTTTCTTGCTTCGAAACTGCCTGTCATATGACGGACAAAGGCTTATCACGGCTGGGTTGGGGTCGTAGGATGACAAGCATAAGATTTCTTAGCACAATCCAGAAGTCTTCACTACAAGACAATCTTCCTTCAGTTTCCAATGAGATTAATTCATAAATTTCTGTCAGCCTACGTCTTAATAAAAAGAAGTCACATAAAGGCTATTTAAGCCTTAATGGAATCGTAAGGTATATTCATTTCACTGCGAGAAATTAGACAATTAGTCTCTACATCGTCTTAACCGACCTATGGTGAATGGAGTTCTTATTTTAAATCTCCTGATAGTTTAAAAACCTTATAGCTTGGTAAATATATTTAGCTTGGGATAGATCATCGGAAGTTTGTGGATGGAATAAAATATGTGATGGTTCATAATGGGCTGATAAATTTAGAAGTTTGTGTATCATCAAAAAAAATATATTCAGCTGTTATGTTTGCCTATTTTTTTATTGCACTTAACTCAATTTATAATTTTAGTTGAAGTCTTTGTCTCATTTGCCCAACATGCTTTCCATTTGGATGAGCCCGTCCAACTGCTCGTATATTTCAGGTAATTATGTTGTATTTTGTTCTCTCTTTAGACCTCTTTGTATTCCGTATGGCTGTTCAACACTTTTAAAGTGTGCCTTTTGGGCTATTTTAGTTATCACAATTACAAAAGTACTCTTAGATAGACTTCTTGATTTGAACCTTATGAAATTGCCTCATTATAAGTAATGCCTTGTAGTGTAGGTCGTATATCTTTCTAGTTTTTGTTACGATTCATTCACAACCATATCGAACACTACTAATCGGTAGATAGTCTCAAAACTTTCTGATATCTTTTACAATAATGATATAAACTAGGGCTGTTTGTTTTTCTGGGTGACGAAAAAATAGGCTATTATCATTTCACTTTTCTCCTGATGCTGCTTCATATGATTATACTTTTTTATCGGACAGAAATTCCTTGATTGATTTTTTGCTTGAAGCCTTGGTAATTTCATTTAATTAATAAAACCCAAGAGCTTAATAGATGGAACCGATTGATTAACCAGAGGCACAAATCTTTTCAGATTAATTCCTCACATGCTTCTTAAATAAGATTTTAAAAATTTTTTACAAGTTAATTTGCTTATTCTAAAACTCTTTCTGCTTGTAATATTGAGTTTTCGATTTTTATTAGTTCCGAGTTTTGAGCTAGTTCCGAAGGCATTAGTGACTTTTTAATAAGTTTCTTCTCACTAGCTTGCTTGAGATGATTTATGGACGAATTGTGGAATTTTGTCACATTCATGAGTTAGACTCACGATGTCATCGATTCTTTTCAAATTATT